TTCAAAGGTCTATTAAAGCTCCGCGAAACGCTTTTGAAGTATATCCCGGAGGTTTCGCGAACGGATATAAACGTGTGCCACTGGCAGCTAGCTTGGTATAGCGTACGTATATCGGCAGCAATTTGCCGCCAGCCGATATACTCGCAACACAATTCGATAAGCACTTGGACGATTCGTTGACGTGAGCGCACGGCAAAATTTAATCCGCGAGCTATGATTATAATCGTTGCGCAAGCCGAGAGAGATTACTTTCATCTATCTGAAAAGTTGGAAAAGAGATGAAAATCAAAATCCGGGTTCTTTTTCGGAATGAAGTAGAAATTGCGTAATTATTATTATGATTACCACGGTGACTTGCGCCAAACATCGTGGAAAACTTTATGTACTAAACTCGTGTAGCGTAAAATATACATTCGGTTTTTAACGCCTGGCGCACGCGCGCGTTTGCGAGCATCGCTGCAGCAGATATAATATAATTCCAATGACGTTTCACCTCATTTTCCACTCTCGCGAGTATTGCTGCTGCTACTAGTGGTGTTGCTGTACGCGCGCGTGCGTGTGCATTAATGCCGCGACTTTGGGATAAAGGAGCTCATTTCTGCAAGCTAGACGAGAGAGCGAGTCAAATCAAATTTTAACGAGACGAAGCGGCCTGGCAGCAAAGTAATTCTGGTTTCGAGAGCTTGCAACATAAGTATACAAAAAAAAACGACAACAACAACGACCCGCTCGAATGCAAACTCGTTTCAAAAGTCTCACTCACTCTCTCACGTAGTAGTCGTGTGGCATTAAAAATCTCGACGTCCGCACTCGATGCATATATGCGGCGATCGAAGCTGTTACGTACGCACACACACATATAAGAGCGCTTTAAAACGTCGTTAACGATGTTATTGTATATAATACACGGTTAGAGCTTTCCTCCTCTCGTAATTGTACGCGCACTCGAATTTTATTTTAACTCTCACCTACGCCGTAGCCGTGTATACATAATAATATATAAAACAGACGCACCTTTACCTCAATTTATAATGAATTTGCTCTCTCGCTCTCTCGTGCACCGTTGTTATAGACATATATTTTCTCTATACGCATATGATACAGACTTGGTGCACAGTACATTTATATATACGAGCTTCTCTCGTTATCAACTCGCTATTGCTCTCTCTCTCTCTCTCTCTCTCTCTCTCTCTCTCTCTCTCTCTCACGAGCACATTTGATATAAATTTTCGATCACGTGTGCCAATTACCGTTTCGTATAACTTTATACTGCGAATTTAACACGGCCCCGTTATTATACACATCTGCCGTGTATGTAATAGTATAAAACTTGACGCTTTTCTATAAATAGATTTAAAAAAAGCCGTCTGTTATTTGCAATCCCGCTGAGAGCTAGATTTTTTTTCCTTGATGTTGACTTCAGCGCCATGTATAATAATATAATAGAGAAGGAAGATCTGCAGAGATGGTGATGGAACAATGTATTTTATGGCCTGCGTACTTTATAAATTATTTTGCACTCATTATCAACCTTTCTCTCTCTCTCTCTTTTGGGACATGATATGCAAGAGCCAATGAAATCCTTTTGTTGGCTCCCACAATTTTATTGTGAAAATAATTAACAAACGCACACACATACAAACGAACAAATTCGCTTTTGGATACCCTGAAAACACGTAAATAAATTATCTCAACGTACGCGGGTCCTTTTGTTTCTCTCACACACATATAAAACACACACACGATAGAATAATGTGTACCATATAAGTGTGTGTGTGTATGTATCTGTGCGTTAGTGTGTTGAGTGTAGGGTGAATCCAGGAGCAGCAGACAACGTACGACCTTCGTGTCCTTGAATTTCTTTTTTGCCCCAGCGAGCTTGGGCGTTATATAGAGACGGGGAATAAAAATTTTCCCACAGCTCTCTCAGATCGAAAGAAAGAGAGAGAGAGAGAGAGGGGGGATGAAAGGGATATAAAAACTTTTCGACCTGTAACACGCGACTGCGCGCAGAAAATCGAATTTTATTTAACGACCTTTCGAATATGCGTTATAATGTTAGACGCAGGCGCGCGATACGTTTAGCAAATCTGATTCTGGCGTCGTTGTATATATTACGCGCGACATCCATTCGAGCGCTCTCGAGTTTAATCTCTTTTTCTCTCTCCCCTATTTTTTTTATTGTACCTTGGCAATATCGTTGCGCGCGCGACTATACGGAACACGTGGTACATAATAATATTAGCGAAATTTCCGATTACATATTGCACTCGAGAGGCTCGTTAGGTTATTCCGAAACTGGCTGTAATAGCTAGTAGCTATTTTAAAGGTCGATTTTTAAAATGAAATTATATACAGAGAGCACGTAAATACGAGTTTATGTATACCCAGAGAGCTTTATATACGTAGCTTGATGGACTGTTGTTACGGCCGCGCGCACGGGGAAAAGTAGAAAAGCCAAAGTACAGTCCGACGTGGCTGTTTATCCAGAGAGAGAGAGAGAGAAGCTGCGGGCAAATCGCTCCCCAACACTCACACAACAAACAGTTTTGGGCGATCCTCTCTATATCTCTCCCTGTGTGTGCCCCACCGTAGCTTCGACGAGTCTTTCTCTCTCAGTATAGTAGTACGATATACACACATACGTCAACATACACAGAGAAAGAGAGCCGTGGGGCACGTATAAAGGATATCTGTATCTAAATGTGAGCCCTGCATTATATACGTATATACCACTGCTATACTACTATATCCTATCCACGAAGGCGTTGCGTTACCTACTTGCCATCTTTGGCCTACATTCCAACTAAAGAGTTTACGGATAACTTAACGAAACGGAACGAACCTTGAATATTTATCTTACGTAATCAACTTTTACTCTCCCGTTCTTCCCCTTGATTTTTTTCTGTTTTTGTTGGAAAAGCAAATCATCTTAAACTTATATGCGCGTAAAAAGAAAAGATAAAAATTCATTTAGTATATTAATCAAGTGAGGGGTGGGAACCTTTTATAAATTAGTTTAAGGCCTTCTCCCTTTTTTTTCTCACTGAATATTATATTTACTTTCGTGGTCACGGATCACGTCCGCGTTATAATAACATTTTCAAGTCTTTTTAATCTAAAATTCTCGGAAGATTTTATCAAATGCGAAAAAATTTTCTCTCTTATACGCGCGGAGACACACATACTTACAAGCACGTATGTGTCCGGGTGGGGAGATAACGCGCGCTCTTAACTTTTCATTATAAAAGTAAGTACGCGCGCGCTCGTGTGTGTATGTGTGCGCGTCAGACGTGTTTTATACGGATGCATGCGAAAGAGCTGTCGTATAATATATTGGTTAGAGACAGCCCAGCTGCAATTTCAAGGGAATGGAAATTTTTTGCAAAGCACTCGACGACGATAGAGCCACTGAGTCCCTGTGTACTGCTGCTTCGTCGTCGTCGTCTCACGTCGATTTTATGTACCTACCCTTAAGTTTATTCAATGCGATTAAGTGTGCAGCATCGTCACCATATCTATTTTTATCGCTATTCCGCATGCCCGCGAGATAAAGTGCGTGTAAAAAAGTCGCGTCGCGCGTAAGCGCGTACAAACCGCACCGATATTTCCGTTAAATTGCGTCGCTCTCTCTCTCTCTCTCTCTCTCAATATACTTTTCCCCCGCGGAAACGCGATTAACTCCGGGCGAATGTTGTTCGCAGCGTTCGAACGAGAGCTGCTGTTGTACGCTGCTACTGCCGGGGGAAGAGAAAATTCCAGTCCCCGGGTAAATTCCTAAATGCACACTCGATGTAACGAGTACGTACGTGTTATATACATGGCAGTATATATAATGAAATTCCAAGTGAAAATTAACTTGTGCCCGTCGCCTCTCGCGATGTCTAACTTCGCGCGGCGTGTTATACGGTTTTAAACTTTTACAGTACGTCGCGTCGTCGTGTGTTGCTGTTGCGCCCCGCACACCTTTCGCATATACTTCGAGCGCACGATCGTCAAAAAATTAAACATCAGTCGTAAATGTTTTGAACTTGTGCGTCGAAAGCTCTCGGCAGCGGTAGCAACAGCAGCAGCTTGGCAAAATCCGCGTGGTATATAATCCAATGAGCTTTAAGGTGTATTTGTGTACGCGTACTACCACTGCTGCTACCGTATACTATAAAGTCAAGCTCACTATGTGTGCGGGCATTAATATACGTGTGTACGCGGTGTGCGCACGAGTGTCTGTCTGTCGCGCGCGAGGAGGTTTGCAGCGTGCAGCAGCAGTAGCGGCGGCAGTGGCAGAGGCGCGTATATATACGTATATACAGCACGCGGATCAATATACAAGATACGTAAACCACAGATTTAGCCAGAGAGAAGAAGAAGAAGAAGAAGAAGAAGAAGAAGACGAAACAGCAGCAGCAGTGGTAGCGGCGGCTTTTCGACGCACATGATTTTCGTATATGCTACGCACGGATATCGACTCGGACGCAAACACACGCACGAGAGTTCTCAAAATAGTTGCCATCATGCCTAATATTTATCGACTCTTTTATCTGTGTAACTCGAGCTTTCTCCATTCCTCCTAGCTCTATACGTGAGGCGTACATTTGGAGCCAACGAAGCGAGCAAACGATGAAAAAATCAACGATCTGACACTAGGAGACAATCGTACCGTTGTTCGTCGATGCGTAAATGTGTTTTCGAGCAATTATAAGAAACCGACGCGATCTAATGTACGAAGAATAAGTCATCTAAAGCCGTCGAGGACGAGAGAGAGAGAGCGAGCTTGCAAGCACACGTGCACCACTCTCGACTACGTTAAGAGCTTATCGATCGCTCTCTCGCCGCTTGCGTCTGCTATCAACAAATTACTCGACTTGTGCTTTAAACCGGCTCAATCATATTTGAGAATGAGAAAGACACAGATAATAATAATATCAAGATTGAAAAATTTTTACGCAAAATTATATTAAGAAACCATTTAGGTGCGAAAGAAAAAAAAAATTAAAGCTTACCCCCGAAAAAAGCTCGCAAGCTCGAACGTAGCCGCACGCGTATTACTACGGATCGAGCATGCTCACTTGCGTGCGTGTGTGCACATTATCTATATACAACAGGCAGGCAGGAGTCGAGGAGTCGCTTCTCTCGATTACATAAATGCGCCAGGCTCCGAATGGCGCGCGACTGATGCTATCTTCTTTTGTTGTTGTTGTTGTTGTTGCTGCTGTTGCTGCTGTTGCTGCTGCTGTTGCTTTTGTTGTTTTCACACACCTCAGTGATATCGTGAATCGATGTAAAAAAGAAAAAGAATAAAAACACAAACATCCACGAGTACACAATAGACACAAACACCCACAAGCTTAGCGACGAGGCTTTTCGTCAGTCAGTCCGCAGAATCCGCGCGCGCGCGCACAGTTCGTAATTGCCGGTCTATATAAAACGCGCACAGCACAATAAACTCGTTAGCCGAAGAACGAATGCGCGAGACTGACAAAAAAAAACAACCACAAAAAAAAGAATCGAAATGGGAAAAATGGCCAATCGGCGTGGAATCGAAAATCACTCTCCAGTCTTCGAACTTTCCGCTTTCGATACGGCGTCGAGGGTGAAAAAGACGCGTGCACGAGAGGATGTCGGATAAACGTATCGTGGCTTGTATGTGTGCAATGCGTCGAGCGAAGCGGCCGAGCGCCAACTGGAAAGGCAGCAGCAGCACAGCATCGGCGACGAAATATCTCGCCCGTCGCCTGCAAGGGGGTAGAGAGTACGCTATAGAGCATGGGCAAAAGGGGCGGCAAATGGAGAGTGGATGTATGTATGTATGTAAGTGTAGTGAGTGAGAGTCTAGTGCTACAGAGCAGCAGCAGCAGCAGCGAGAGCGAGAGAGGAGAATATACGCGGGATGCTGCGCGTTGCTGCTGACTTGCCTCCGCTGCCGCGTCTCTCCCTCTGTCTCTCTTATAATGTATGTGTGTGTATGTGTGTGCGTGCCTGTGCGAGGGGCATCGATTTTCTTCTCTCTACTCTGGCGCACACTGCAGTAGCAGCAGCAGTAGCAGCTAGACTCGCGCGCGTGCACAACGAGAGGAGCTCCCTGCTATATATTATACCTATAACGTTGCTACTGGTGCCACTGATGCCAGTGTCGCTGCTATTTTACTATGTGCAGCAGGGCGCCATGCCATCCTCGCTTATATGCAGAATACGCGCGATCCTCTTCTCTCGCCGATGCATCTCTTCCCCTCTCGATCTCTGTTCTCTCTGTATGCACACTAGCCGTATACCATTTGGATCTCCATTTCTCTCTCTCTCTTCCTCTGCATCCTTGCAAATATTATACGTATATATCAAGCATGCTTGGATTGTGTATTTGTGTGCGCGATTACGTTTCGCATAGAGCAAAGATCCCTTGGCTATCATTTCTCTGAGAGGGAGAGACAGAGAGAAGATGAGAAGATGAACCACCAAACGTGTACAGGTATAACGTATAAAGGCGAATGACAATGCTCCTCTTTGACCTTGTCGTAATTTGCTCTAGCATGCACGCTCACACATACATACACACACAAAGACAAGCAACGATCTTGTTATTAAAATCCAGCCAAAAGATCCAGAGAGAGCAATTAACGCTGAATTTCCTCTTTCCTTCTTTCCTTTTCCTCTTTTTCCTTTTTCCTTTTTTTTACTTCTCTTGCGAAGTTGCGACTCCGGTGTGCGTCAAAGGAACTCTCGCAAGCCCCAAAAGAGGGTAATAATAGCTCGAGAATCGCGAGCCGAGCTTGCAAGCCGCGCCTCGAGTACAATTCGAACTTTGCCTTTTGCGATCCGTGCACGCGTTATGCACACTTTGCTTCTGCACGCGCACGGTTCTTTCTTTTTTTTTTGCTGTTTTCGTTGAAAGTTTTTTAAAACAGCTGCTCGCGGAGTGTGTATACGCAGCGACCTTAAATACACGCTCGCATTATATAATTAACTCTATCTTCCTTAGCACGGCGAGCTAATACCGTCTCGCTTAATGCATGCATCAACATAATATTAAAATGGAGTTAACGCTTTAATCGAGGGTGGGCTTGTAGAATGTTTTAAATAAAAAGAAATATTCGACTCTCGTATGCGCTTTTGAAAATTCACGCCAACAAATGTTTTTCCTACCTAACGTATATAAAAGAGACCTCGAGCGAGGAGATATGGTGCTATTTAGCCCTGGGGCTCGTATATAGACACATATATGTATATAAAACGCGTATCGTACGCGCACGTATTATTTATATTCAACGTGTGCAGATCGCGCGGCTCGGGGGGAAAACTTTTCCGCCGCGCGAACGAACGGTCTTTTTTTCTCTGGAAGAGAGCGCGGCTACGTAGTTATAAAAATGGGAGTATGGGTGCGCATAAATACGGTGTGATTATAGCTTAATTAGCGATGCGAGCTTCAGCATTTATCATAAAAAAAAAACAGAAAAAAAAATTCATTGGATCAAGAAGACTCGAAAAATTCCATGTCTCGTGAATAGAAAATTCTTTACCATGCGTATTTTTTCTTTCGAATGAGACGAGAAAATAACTGAAAATTTCAGACTCTGCAAAAAATGCATGCAGCAAGAAATTTTTTCATGAGAATTTTTTACACAGTATTTGCACGTTTCTTTGTGTGTAGGTTCATTAATAAAAAAATTGATGGACGGACGCAGAATGATACCAAATAATACCTATCAATAATATTTTTGAACCTGCTAATGGTTGATTATTAATAGCTTTTTCTATTTTCGATCGCTCTATCTTTCGAATTGAAATTAAATATGATAAAAAGAAATTCGCAAAGCTGTGAAAAAAGGCGAATCTTTACCTTTACAAGAATACATATTTACCTCGAAAACTGGCATTGTGTCACCTTTGCGAATCGTAAAATCCCTCGCCTCCGTAAAAAAGGCAACTTTTTTTCTATATAAATAATGGATTTGTCTTCGTTTACCCAAGTAAAATCTCATGTCAATACTCTTTCTCTCTGTCTCTCTCTTCGAACGGAAAATCTACTTCAACCTTTTTTGGCCGGCGTGACGAAAATTCGTACGTGCCTTTCAGGTAGTCGTATGGTTTCGGATACAGTATACGTACAAGCTCCATTGGGTTTGACTGATTTTCTTTACGTGTACGATATATAAGTCTGCGTACGCTTCGCCCTCCTGAAATTCGGAAGAACCTTATAGAGAGACGAAGCTCTCGGCGATCCGGAAGTCGCCCATATTGAAAAGCTAATTGCGCAAAGTACGTGCCAAGCGTCCGCTGACGTGATCGCGGAAAAGTAGCGAAGATATGACATTGTCGCAGAATGAATAATGGGCGTAATACCGCGTTGAAATGCGCGGCATGTGCGTGCACCGAATGCGTGCATTATATGCGTGTTTGCGTGTCTACGGAAGCGCGATATAAACTTGGGGATTTACATTAAAGTCTGACCTATTTTTCTCTAGGTTTCGAGTGTGTATATTAAGCTTTTTTATCCCCTCCGTGTCCTGGTGCACGGGCGCGTGGCAAACCACGAGGGTATACATACATAATACATACATGCGTACATGTATACATCTGCCTTTGTAGATGTAATCACGTTTATATTGTGAGAGTTTCGCCCCATGCGACGATTTTAAACGATTTTTATATAAATAGTTTCGCGACTGCAAAAGAAGCCTCTTCTGACGATGTATATTGCGTTTTTCAGATAACAAAGATATTTAATTAAATTCTACGATCCGCGCCAACACACACAGGCACGACGATACGACGTCAACAACGACGACGACAACTTTTTCCATGACATTTTCATCGATTTTCATAGTTGAGGCTCTGCAAAAGGAGCAAGGAACATGCATTAACTTTGTGGCTGGGGCTTTTGTTTCTCGTCAAAGAAACAATTTTTAACCGAAATTTCATTATAAAACTGATTAACCTAAAAGATTTATCTAGCGTGTAATATAAATAGAGTCTGCTCCTAAACGAGAATGATGGAAATTTTTTAAAGATACGCGAGATAATACTCCTTGAGCATATAATTAGAGAGTATTCCTTCTCTTACATGAATATCATGTAAATACTCGCTCATCGAGTATAACGTTCATGCGCTTTCATTCCTTTTTATTGTTTAGCATCCGATCATCAAACGTCGCGTTGCTATTTGTTCGTTTGTTTTAATAAAATAAAAAAATATCCATGGATGGATTAAAAACTAATACTACCATCAACAAAGTAATCTCATCAACACAGAGTAGATTTTTCAAACATGAGGAATTAAGCCATAATTGTGAAGCATACGCCCATTTAGAACATTATCAAATATTGAGAACACTTATAAGGTATAGTTTCTGAACTTTTTCATAATTATTGATAATTAGTGTTATACCGGCTCTTACACACGATGAAATAATATGCAACTAGCAGAAGCTATGCTATTAGTAGAATTATTGAATGTTTTTCACGTTAGTTTCTTTAAAATGTTTAATCGATTTAGGGTCGCGTATCGTTAAGTGGAGATTATGAAAAATCCAGTAGCCAACTAAACGCTCGCCCCGTTCACAGTTCCAAACAAAACGTACAAAAAATAACTCTCGGCTGATCGTTGCATGAGCCAAAAAATGCACGCAGAGTAGTAATTAGCAGTTGTCCGATTCAAAAACAAAGCACCAACCTCAAGTATGAACCAATGTGCAATAGTAGTTGATAGAACAAGACTTAGGTAAGACACAATCATATAGGCACAATTTGTATTGAAATTTTAGAAAATACATCTGAGTCAAAATAATACTTTTTTACAAAACCGTGCGCACGTATGTCACCGATCTTGACGCGCTTTTGGTATGTTATAGTACATGGTAAATAGGTCCCAAAAACAAAATTTTAGACCCCCTCCCCCCTCCTACCCCCCACTTCCGGTATAAACGTCCATTTTCGATCTATATTTTTTCTGAGGACATGAAGTAATTAAAAAATCTGAAAAAATTCATAAAAATACTTTTCAACAATCCAAACAACCGTGAATTTTCTCAGATTTTTTGAGTGCTTCAGGCCTTCAGAAAAAATTATTGAAAATTTCAAAAATTGAGCTAGGGTGGTATGAGCCGATGTAGTAAACGAAAATTTTTTCAGTTTTTTATCGCATTGAAAAACATTACCTCAATTTTTTTCAGATTTTTTCAGATGACCTAACGCACCTTTTGAAGCAAAAAACCGCTTTTTTTAACGAAAATAATTTTTTTAGAGCGATGCGGAGCCTCGAAAAATCTGAAAAAAATTTTTTCTTGTTTTTCTCATCAAAATACATTATCTCAAATTTTTTCAGATTTTTTAATTGAAGGCGATAGCTTCTAGGGCCGAAAAATGCTATTTTTAACAAAAAAACGGTTCCTAGAACCCGATGGTTCCGGTGAAAAAATTTGAAAAATTTTTTTGAATTCCTTGTCAAATTTTAATAAATTTTGACCGGTTCAAAAGTTCGATTGAAGCCATTCTAGAGCAGGACAAAGATTAGTGCAAAATATCTGAAGACGTTTCTGAAGACATTAAGGAAGGATAAAACTAGTTTCATGCTCTACATTGAGCTAGGAGGCTTCAATCGAACTTTTGAACCGGTCAAAATTTATTAAAATTTGACAAGGAATTCAAAAAAAAAATTTTCAAATTTTTT